TTCAGGTCTGTCACTAGTTTTACTCACCGACTGATTTAATTCGTCTTGTAATTTGGAATTCTGGTCTTTCAATGTCAACACTTCATGTTCTAAAGTGCTCACATTCTTACGAAGCCCGAGTAAATCTTCAAGTTGATCTTTATTAAGACTTGAGTTCAGGGAGTCACAAGGTTCCGCCAGTTCGGCTGCAGCGGCGGCCACAGCATACTGTGCATTTGCTACTTCAAGATCTTTCTCCTACAAAGAAAAACGCTCAATTTCGCTGATGACGTAATTTCCGGTAGGATGCACTATGGGATTGATGAGCTGAAATTTGGCAGGAATTTTTTTTTACAGAATCAAAGCAAAATGTGAGTTCAGCTTCAATTTAGAGCATTATTAATGTAAATCTATTATATCTTTCCATAAATAACCCAAAATGAGTTAGTAATCTTACAAGTTGTTGGCATTTTTCGTGTTTTTCCTGCAGTCTTTTCTCAAGGTCGGTTTGGTGAATCTGYAATTCGTTCATTTGGTTTCGTAGCGATTGTAGTTGAGAGCTTTCATCAGGGAGATAACTACCATTCAATTCTGCCTGGTGTGAATTATGATAAGCTGTAACAGAAAAATACATTGAAATCGTTATAAATAAGCTTGTGTTTTGCACTATTCTTTGTTTTTACTATACGTCACATCGGCCATCTTGGAGGAACATCAAATTAATAATAATAATAATAATTTTCATGAGCATTACAAAAAATCTCAATGATTTACAAAAGAAATTTATAAAGAATTAAAATAAAAGTCGCACTGTATTATATATGAATAAAAAGATTGTTATGAACTAAGGCTTTCTTATTAGTATCATTCCTCAAACATGGCCGCCGTGAATGAATGAATGAATGAATGAATCTCATGGGAATGGTTGAAAACGATCAATTTACTACAGTGAAGACGTTTAACCTGAGAACAGAAGTTGACTTTTTAAAATGCTTACACTGTGCAAAAGAGAGTTGATTTCTAAGCTGCTGGATTTCTTGTGATTGGTGTTCTACTTGCGCACATGCCTGCCAATGAACAAAGAAGCAAAACTTAATACAGTGAAACTCAGTTAATCTGACCACCATGGGGACACCGAAATGTGGTCGAATTAACCGAGCAGAAATGTTTGAAAAATGCCGGAAATGCATCTCGAACGTATGCAAAACGCTGTTTTTTGGAGGTCATTTAGAGTGGAAACCACACTCATTACAGAGGAACTCAGTCAATCCGACCACCAACCGACACCGAAATGTGGTCGGATTAACCAAACCGAGCAGAAATGTATGAAACATGGCAGAGGTAGCAGAAATACATCTTAAACGTACGTTTTGTGGAGTTTTGTAGATAATTTCGGTTGCTACGCCAACGAGCGTAAACCAAAACGACATATAGCTACCTGATTATAAGATGATTCCATGTCAGCATATCGTGACCTCAATCGACAGAGTTCTTCATCCTGATAATTAAACCACAATAAGTCTTTAACTTTACAATTTTAAACTGCTTAGGGACGATCCATCCAAATTTTGAGGGGAGGGGGGGGGGGGGGGGGGGGGATTGGGTGGAAGATTTTGTGCCGAAAAAATATTGATCCTGCAAGGCACAATTTTGAAATATATGCACTAAAACTCTTGTAAATTTACAACAACAACAAAAAARCGCGCCTGAAGTCCCCCMAAAAATTCTTGCACGGAMAAAATCTCCCAACCCTCCCTCCCTCAAAATTTTAATGGATCACCCCTTAGGAGCACGGCAGAGAACACTTCTCAGGTCCTAGTTACTAGTCCCTCTAGGATTCTACCTGTTCCCGTATGAGTTCTTTGTAAGACGCTACTATAGAATCATGGTTCTCGATGCTACCATTGCTGTGATTGGTTGGCGGAGGAGCTTCTGTTGTTTCTTCGACTGTCTTAGTTACAGCAGCTTGGAAAACAGATGGTGAAAATGTTGCGATATATAAAGATGATAAATCCAAATGCTAGAGTATGCATTTTTTCACAGTAATGATTTTAACTAGTCAAACAATACATACCATCAAATTTCTTGAAGAGTTTAGTGAACTCATGGTCAATAAGCACTTGATTCGTACCATCATCCTTTATCTGGCATGAATGAAATAACAAATGGATGGATATATAAATAAATAAACGGATGAAAGGATGACTTAATCACTGAATAGGTCGAGGGATGGACAGATAAGTAAATTAATGAATGAATGGATATGAGGATGAATGGATGAAATACTGAATAAAGAAATGATTAGTGATTAAGAAATCAATGATAGCAGAGTAGAGCAGAGCAGAGCAGAGCAGAGCAGAGCAGAGCAGAGCAGAGCACAGCTCAGCACAGCACAGCACAGCATAGCACAGCACAGCGTACCTCGGGTGATTTGACGGCAGAAGTAAAGTACTCTGATTTCGATATGTAGCCTATCTTCTCAAGAAGGTTATCCAGACCAATACGCTTGTTGATAAGTAATCTAAGATCATCTCTAGCAAAACACAAAAAAACTCAAAAATACTGGTCACCTAGTTTGAATCCCGCGAGGCACAGGATCATGACGTAATACCACAGGGAATCCGCATTTCACTAAGAGCGCGAGTCGATAAATAAAAGCGTGCGCATTCGTTCTTTTGTAAAGACATCAGAAAAGTCATTTGCATACATCGTGTTTTTAATTTCTTTGCAAGATTAAGTTCCAAAATTTCTTACAATGTCAATAACATTTAATTTACTATTTATCTAAAGTTTAAAATTAGAATTTTTCGGTGAAATKTTTATGTAAATGACCTTGTTGTAGTTTTTATGTCTTTACAAGTGAACAACGTTAATAGCATTGACTGTACGTTTGCTCAAGACCTATCCCACTTTGTRTTGACTTWAMCAGTATRAATTTTGACATACTTTTTGAATTKYTCGACAGAATTATCATTAAAAGCCAAGCAGAGTCCAAGTAGAAGAGCACACAGGTAGCCCACTAGCCTTTCTCCTTCTTCMCCATGGGCGTCAACACCAACTTGGGCCATAAGCTTTGATTGGTCAAGGACTCAATAACAATATCAAAATAGAGAGTGGAAGTTGTACTTTTATATTTAAAAGCATGCTTGTTAAGCAACAATATTAATTTTATCAAGACTAATTAATAATATCGTTATCTTAAAACTCTATGCTGTTTTTATAAGAAAGAGTTTTGTAAAAAGATAAATTTAACACCGTAAAAAATAGGTGGACCAACTTACTGACGTTTCAGACSTTAATCCTCCGTTGGGGTAAAGCACTGTTTGGACTGTTTCTTTAGAAACACCGACGCATCTCACACTACAGTAGTTTACCGCTAGTTTCCACCATGTTGTTTTTATAACATTATAGCTTTCATAAAAATGCTTAGTTCAGATCTAAAGGATACATAAGGTATATTTGCAGCATTATGAAGAAAGTGTGCCACMGCAATTGGACAGTTTGACARCCAAGAGCACAACAACATTAGWAGACCAACRCGAGTTTGAACATCTCCTCCCTSAAGGAAAAGAAAAACTTTTCTATTTAGAATCTCGAACACTGTGCCTGAAATTATGTCAGGAGGAAAGACACACGCAACTCTGGAGGAATCCATCTTTCTCTCCATTTGTAATGAGTACAATAATGTCCATGATTTACCATTAAAATTCAAGGAAAGAATATTTTACCTGGGCTAAGATGTTTGTGCACTGCTGTAACAGTGAAACTGGAGGATTTCCTAATGGAAAACACAAATATTGTTAAAAAAAAAACGTTTTTGTTTTATCTAGTTTATTATTCTTGTGTATAATGATTGATGGTGATCAACATCAATGATTGACAGCMATCAATCATAAAAGATATTGTGGTGACTTGATAATGACTGAAGTGATAGTTATGATGATAACAATATTTTTCTGAGGTAACCGTGATAGTGATAATTATYAGTGATTGACAGCTATCAATCATGGAATAATCTGATGAATCAGCAGATAATGGCTGTGATTATTTACTGTTATCATGATGAACTTTATGTATACGCTAAATTGCACAAAAACATTGTCATTAGAGTACAAACATTAAATGTGTGCAACACTTTCCACTATTTACTACAAAATAGTGTTAATTAAACAATAGAAAACAATAGAATTAGCGTAATTTAGCAGTATTTAGTGGTATTCACTGTATGTTGCACAGTTTTAGTGTTTGTACTCTATTATTGAAATAGTTTGTGATGGTAGTTATGGAAGCATGAACAAACCTATACTAGTTGCAAGCTGTACTCTTAAAAGTTGTTCCTTCTGAGTTGGATTTCCTTTCAAACAATGTGATAAAGCCACAGCTGCACACCAGTTAGCTAATGGATCAGTACTGAAACAAATATCAGAGAAAAAAATGAAAAAACTTCCAAACTAGAGCTATATATTCAATATTAAAATTATTAGACTTTCCATTAAAAAAAAGTCACACATGAAACATTAAATCAATTCACAGTTCATTCAACTTTGCGGAAGGCTTGTTGATCTCAGTAGATTGGTTTCAGAGATTGAGTGGGA